AGGGGATGCGCAGGGCGATGTGATGTGCCCGCTGTCACCATGCTAAGGCCCCTATGAGCCAGGATCGGGCCGGGCTGTCGGGTCAGCATCCAGTCTGCCCAGTCCCATCCTGGAGCTATTAACCTGCATGGTCCATACAGGACGGTGCAAGGCCAGGGGATCACGGTCCTTTTGGTTCGTATGTGCTGCGCCTACTCTCTCTGTTTCCCGGCTCACACATTCTGACGTGTTTCTTTCTCTCCATCTTTTTGCAGGGAGCCCACCCTTTGGTCGTTGCTGCCGTCTTGTTGGTTGATGTGAGTCTGGCCTACCTGTTCTCGCTTCTCCTCACTTGAGATGGGTGGGGGCAGGGGGGCACTTTGGACCCTGTTTCCTCCCCTCCCCACGATGACGATGACGGTTTGGTAGCAGACTCTTCTCCATCCTCCTGCCTTTCTACCTGCCCTCCTTTCTCTTTTTCACATATCTTTTACCCCCACCCCCCCACCTCCCTTGCTGCCTCCTAACCCCTTTGACCCTTTCTAGATTGTTTACATACGAAGGGCTCTCTTTCTACTGGAGATTTCTCTGTTTTTTCTTGCTGTCTCTCCAAAACTACGACCACATCCTCCACCTGTCTCGCCTTTTCCCGGTCTTTTCATCCAGCCCCATCCATCGTTCTTAACCCACATTTTGCAACTGGGGCAATTTTTACAAACACCTGTCTTGTCTATATTTTGAGGAGAGAATCATCCTACGACTTAGACTTAGCTCTAGTAGGGATGCATTTGAATCTCAAGAGGTGTTATCAAGCTGACATTGGGATGTTGACTGTAAGGATTCCCGATCTGCCTACCTAGCTTGAATTTCTACTTCAGTCTATCCTTGTTTCTTAGTCTTTTCTTTCCCTGCTCCAACCTTAAGAGGTTTATTGGGCTGGGAAGAAAGAAGGCAACCAAGCTTTCCTCCATTCCTGTACAGTGGTCCCTCCACATTCTTTGAGGTTAGGGATAAAGGACCCCCATGAATGTGGAAAAATTGCAAATAAAAAAACACTATTCTTTTTTACCTGAGAGAACACCTCTCTAGGAATCTCCAGGTCTTCCTGTACAACTCTATGGTCAACACCTGCCAGACGTTGATCATAGAATCATGCTGGAGGACCCACAAATGCCTAGAGAAGTATTTTTTCTAGGAACCTCTAGGTTCTCCAGCACAACTCTATGGTCAACGTCTGGCAGATTCGTGCTGGATCTAGAGAGCTTCCTAGAAAGCAGTGGCATCCCTAGGATTGGTGTCACCCAGTGCGGGAACTCATGGTGTCACCCCCTGCCCACTGACCACCTCCCATTTCACACCGTACAGAATCCTTAGTAATGCTTTTTTGCACTAATGTTACTTGTAAATCGTAATTCCCATATATCACTGAATGTATTGCTAATAGTTGTGATATAAACAACTAGCTAAATTAAAATTATATCTTCAAATTACAATAGAAAATCACAGTAAGTCTTGCACAACCTAAAGGTATTTACACATACATAGTGCAGATTTGCTTAAAATGTGATGTTTTTAAAGAATTTTTTAAAGAATTTTAAAAATTAAAAATTTCATTTTTTTAAAAAAAGTTAAAATTTTTAAATTTGAAATTTGAAATGTTAATTTTTTTTAAATCTAGGGCCTTCTCTTTCTTCTCCCACTGAGCTTCACCCCACTCCCACTATCTCTTAAAGCATTTTAAAGGGAAGCCGATGAAAGCCACAGCCTGTTTCTGCCAAAAGGTAGGTAGGTGTTTGAGAACCAGTGGTGTCACCCCTTTTATGGTGTCACCTGGTGCGGTCCGCACCCCCCTAATGACGCCACTGCTAGAAAGAACATATTAATTAAAATCCGTAAAAATCAAAGCCGCAAATGTGGAGGGCCAACTGTACACAGAAACATGCATTTTATACCAGTCTCCTCCAAAGATGCTCTCCTGAAATTTAGAGAATTTGTATTTCTTTTTAAGGGGTATTAAATTCCCATATAACGCTTCTCCCCTTTTCTACCACTAGATGGTGCTGTGGGGCAGAAGGAGAGAAAAGGTTTGAGCAGAAGAGCAGCTGAGCAAATTTGCAAAATTTGGGAAGCATTCAAGGGAATGGTTCTGTCTTGTTCTTTCTGTCTGTTTTTCTTTCATTCTTTCTTTTCCATATTCATGTTTCTCTCTCTCTCCTTCTCTCTTTCTCTCTCTGCCACCTCCTTTTCCCGAGGGAACCGGAACCTTCTTTTCAAACAAAAAACTAACAAACAAACAAACAAAAGAAGAAAGAAAAAAAAGAGTTAACTTTTTATTTACGCTTTTATAAACATTTTTCTCGCAGCATTTGAATAATAAAAATACACTATAAACTAATGAGAGGGTGAAAGGGAGATTCCTTTTGCTTGGGAGAAGGAAGGGAGGATTTCACAAAGAGGACTGTGGAATTCCCCAAAAATAGGAAGTCTAGATGCGGAAAAAGGGGGTGTTTGCTAAGGACCAAACTGGGAAATGCCTCTTCAGGCAGCAGAATTGTGTCCTGGCCAAAGGTAGGGATGTCCTGCTATATCTATATATATGGCTAGGGAGAGCACTTTCTTGGGAAAGCTAGAAAAGGATCCCAAAGTATTGAACGAAGCACCTTAATGCTGGAAACTAGAAATCCCAGCATTAGGAGAGAACAGGGGGGCAGAGGATGTCCCACTTCCAAGAAGGTTTGAAGAAGGATGTACCTGCCAGTGGGAAAAAGGAGATAACTTGCCTTCTAGAGGGTAAAAGAGTTGACCCCTATGGGGGAAAAAAAAACCAAGAAAAGTTGTGCCTTTGGAAAGGAAAAGTGCAATAGGAGAGATCCTGAAATAGGGGGGCAAAAAATAAAAATAAAAAATGGAAATCCCACCTTTTTCAGGGTACTCAGAGTGCAATATAGGAAGTCCTGCCTTCCAGATGGCAAGGAGAGGCATTTTAAGGGCAAAAGAAGCTTAAAAAAGAAGAGGGCTTTAAAGGAACAGGGCTTTGTGGCCCCTGATCTTTCATTTTTGTGGGTGACTGGGAACCAGAGAGGTGAACTGATAAGAGACAGGATGATGGTGGAGGTCCTCTAATATATGATGGGGTGTCCTCCACAAGGAATCTCCCGCTCAGCCCCTCCCTGGATCCTGCATGAGGAAGTGACTGATCCTTTGCTGTGTGCTGTGTATACTGAGAATGTCTGTATAGCTGACAAAAACAGGAGAACAAAAAAAAAATTAATAATAACCCTTCCCTATGGTTTTATACCGCCTGCTCCTTTCCAGTGCTTTGCTCCGGCCTTGATCCGAAGAATTCCCGTCCTGTCCCCCTCTTCTTCCTGGTTTGCCTTTTTGACTGGATATTTCTTATTTCGTGTCTTTGGGATTGAAAAAAACAAACAAACAAACTATTAAATAAGTCTTGCAGGAAAAAAAATAATTTAATAAAAATATATTAATAAAAACGTTTGAAATCGAGTGTTTTATTTACGGGAAACGATCATGTCCGTTTTCATTTGCTAAAGGAAAGGCTTAACTGGTGTTAAGAGTTGGACTTGGATTATGCGTGATACTAAGGAGAGAGGTGACTATGAGCATGTGCAGAGTGTCATCCTCATCTGTCTAATAAATCAGTTCCCTTCTCACAGATCCAAGGGCAATGTGGTACATGTTAGGGGTGTATGCCTAAGTCTAGAGAAGAGAAGGTTGAGAGGTGATATGATAGCCGTGTTTAAATATTTGAAAGGATGCCATATTGAGGAGGGAACAAGCTTGTTTTCTGCTGCTCCAGAGACTAGGACCCAAAACAATGGATGTAAGCTCCAGGAAAAGAGATTCCACCTCAACATTAGGGGGAACTTTCTGACAGTAAGGGCGGTTCGCCAGTGGAACGCACTCCCTCGGAGAGTAGTGGAGTCTCCTTCCTTGGAGGTCTTTAAGCAGAGGCTGGATGGCCATCTGTCAGGGATGCTTTGATAGGGAGTCCCTGCATGGCAGGGGGTTGGACTGGATGGCCCTTGTGGTCTCTTCCAATTCTATGATTCTATGATTCTAAGACATAAAAACTCAAAATTTAGATCTTTTAATTTAGGCTTTCCTCCGGAAAGGAGGGAGGAGGAGGAACAAGCACATGTCTTTTCCTCCTCTTCCCTGCTCTACATGCCGGGGAAAATGGCTTCGCGTGCCATCTATGGCACGCGTGCCATAAGTTCGCTAACACGGCTCTAAGCTCTGATCAGTCCATCTGTGTGAAAAAAATCAAGTAAAAATGTACTTGCAATTTAACATTTGCTCTCATTTATGTATTTATTTACTTATTTGGATAGTTAGATGCAGGATTTTCTCGTCTGAGAACTTGGCTGATGAAGTAAAAATTATTAGAACTGTTGAATTAATCAAATGACAAACTAGCCATGCAAAGTTAAAATGAGCAGCTGGGTCTAAATCAAAAGTACACTGGGCAAAGGAGCATCTGATTTACTCTAAACATATTCTTATGTTGTTTTTATTGTGTGTCCTCAAGTCGTTTCTGACTTAACGGTGACTCTAAAGCAGGGGTAGGCAACCTTTTTGAGCTGGGGGCCGGGTTGCTGTCCCACAGACAATTGGGGGGCCGAAGCACCAAAAATAAATAAATTAATTAATAAATTAAAATAAAAATCAAAATTTAAAAAAATTTAAAAAATTAAAAAAATATGCATGCACAGTCTCTCAGCCCCAGAAAAGCCATGGCAAAACCCCTGTGGAGATTTTATCACGAAAACCCCAAGAACAAGTAATAACAACAATAATCAATATCATCATGGTAGGCGGCGGGGGGTGGCGGCGGCAATGGCGGCAGGACTGGCCTGGGGCCGGTCCAAAGCCCTCGGGGGGCCGCATCCGGCCCCCGGGCCTTAGGTTGCCTACCCCTGCTCTAAAGCAAGCCTAGCATGGGGTTTTTTTGTGGCTGAGAGTGTGTGACACACCCAAGGTCACCCAGTGGATTTCAGTGGCCAAGCAGGGACTCCAACCCTGGTCTCTAGAGTCGTAAGCCAGAGCTCAAACCACTATGCTCCAAAACACACTGCAAAAATAATCCAGTTTGAGACTGCTTTAACTGCCTTGGATCAGTGCTAGGGGACTCCTGGGCACTGTAGTTTTGTGAGACATTGAGCCTTCTCTGTCAGAGAGCTCTGGTGCCACAATAAACTACAATTCCTAGGATTCCCTAGCACTGAGCCAGGGCAGTCAAAGTGGTCTTAAATTGGATTATTTCTGCAGTGTGTTTTGGACCTATATCACGCTGGCACTGAACATACTAATGAGAGAGGTGAATTGGATTTTGCACAAAAAGGAATTTCTCAGCTGAGGTATGTACTACCAACAAAAATGCCCTGTCCCTCATTAGCAGCCGGATAAAACCCAGAATTCCTGAGTTCCCCTGTTGTGACGTGCAGGAAATGCATAGACAACAGGGTCCTATGGAACTCCCTGACATTTTATTCCTTATTGCTGTCTCTTGCAAGGAAGTTTCAAATACCTGTTTCTGGGAGAAGGCACAGATTTAAACCCTTTTCTGCAAAAGTCCACTAGGTGACATCTGGCAAGGTATATTTCTTTGTGTGCCTATGCAATATATTTATTCATACAATATTTCTTCTACTCTTTTCCTTCATTGCTGCCAGATTGTCGTGTTTGTGCCAGATCCATTCCTGGATCCAGGGGAGGTTTGTTCGAATGCGCAGGTGCAAGTGTAGTGGTTTGAGCATTCGAATGCGCAGGTGCAAGTGTAGTGGTTTGAGCATTGAGCATGGAGACCAGGTTTCCAACTTGGCCATGAAACCCACTGGGTGACTTTGGGCATGTCACACGCTCTCAGCCCAGGCTGACCAGATGTCCAAACCGCAAAGATGGACAAGGCACCTTGAAATGTAAGACAGTACTAAATAAAAGCTGAAAACACCTCTTTAAATATCTCAAGGGCTGTCACAGAGACCCTAAAGGATTTCTCGGCAAGTTTCTTCAAAAGGGGTTGGCCATTGCCATCCTCTGAGGCTGAGAGTGTGTGACATGCCCAAGGTCACCCAGTGGGTTTCCATGGCTGAGCCTTCAAGTCATTTCTGACTTGTGGAGGGACCTTCTCTTTCCTGCTCTGGGGGGGGGGGGGTATTACAGAATAAAAGCTAAAAACACTTATATAAATAGAAAATCAGGCTTCTTAGCCATGCTCCAAATGGAAGACGTTTTGAAATTCCTCCTGGATCAAAGGTTGAAATGTAGGACAGGTCCTGGAAAAGGAGGCCAACTGGTCACCCTGTCTCAGCCTCAGGGGGAGTCAATGGCAAACCTCCTCGGAACAAATCTTGCCAAGAAAACTCCATGATAGGGTCGCCATAGCTTGGAAACAACTTGAAGGCACAACAAGAGCAAAAGTTTCAGTGTCCCATTCCAGATTTTCAAGTACGGATTTGGGAAGGCCGGAACAGGTTTGGAGCTGGAGAGCTGGCAACTTTTAAGCATCCAAGGAGCCTGCGTTGTCACTTTGAAGAATTCAAAACACAACACAGCCCAGCAGAACTTGCAAACCACAATCCATTACATTCAAACTTTACATGCTACAAGGAAATTTAAAAGAATGAATTGGTTGGACTATAGTTTTTTGTGGGTTTTTCGGGCTGTGTGGCCATGTTCTAGAAGAGTTTCTTTCTGATGTTTCACCAGCATCTGTGGCTGGCATCTTCAGAGATGGTTGGACTATCACAGGCCCAATGATGCAAAAATCCTCTCCTAACTTGCACTGGTTGGCAAGTTAGTGGAAGCTACTAACCTCCCAGGATTCTAGGAGTAATGTGAAAAAAGTAACTTTTCCAAGCTACCCTCCTGGGTTAGACAAAGAGAAGAGGACCTAATTACATTATGGTGCCCTTCTAGCCTTTAGTAATGAGACAAAGGAGATAA